GATGCCCCGAAGTTGTGGGGTTGGTCATTTCCATGACCCTTAAAAGAGTGGGTTTTGAGGTGGTCAGCCCCTCGCCTTGATGCCCAAAAGTTGTGAGGGGGGCGGGTCCAGGGAGCCTTAAAAGAGTAGTTTTGAGGGTGGTCAGCCCTCTCCCTTTGATGACAAAGTTGTGGGTGGTCAGCCCCTCTCCCTTGTGACGAAGTTGTGAGGGGGTTTCAGCCCCTCAGCCTTGATGACGGGGTTGTGGGGTTTGGTAGCCCGTCGGGCCTTGATGACGAATTTTGTGGGGGGTTGGTCAGTCCATGAGCCTTAAAGGACTTTATTTTTGAGGGGGGGGGGTACAGCCCCTCACCCTTAAAGAGTGGGTTTTGGGAGGTTGCCCGTCCACCCACCCTTGAAAACTTTAGTTTTGAGGTGGTCGTCCCCAGCTTGAAGAAGTAGTTTTGAGGTGGGTCAGCCCAATCAGCCTTGATGCGAAGTTTTGACGTGGCCCAGTTCATCACCCTTTGGGATGACGATTTGGTGAGGTGGTCAGCCCCTTTGCCTTGATGACGAATTGTTGGGGAGGTGGTCGTCCCTCCCCTTGGGACTAAGGTTGTGGGGTGGTCGGTCCCTCAGCCTTGAGGGAGAAGTTGTGGGGTGGTCGGCCCCGTCAGCCTTGAAGCCGAAGCTGTGAGGGGGGCCCAGTCCATCAGCCTGAAGACAAACCCCTGTGAGGTGGTCAGTCCTTTGAACCCTTTGAAGCGTAGTTTTGAGGGTGGTCGTCCTCACCCCTTGACGCCCGGAAGTTGTGAGGTGGTCAGCCCAGGGCCCCTTAAGACGTAGTTTTGGGGTTTGGTTTAGCCCCTCTCCCTTGAGGGACAAAAGTTGTGGGGTGGTCGGGCCCCTTTCCCCTTGAGACGAAGTTGTGAGCTGGTCAGCCCCTTACCCCTTGATGCAAAAGTTGTGAGGTGGTCAGCCCATCCCCCTTAAAAGACGTGTTTGAGGTGGCCCAGTCCTTCAGCCTTGTTTGACGTATTTTTAAAGGGGTCAGCCCAACCCAGCCTTGAAGAGTTTTTTGAGGTGGTCGGTCCCTCAGCCTTGATGACGCCGTTTTTGAGGTGGTCGGGTCCCTCAGCCTTGGGGACGAAGTTGTGAGCTGGTCAGCCCCTTTAAAGCCTTTGATGCGAATTTTGTGAGGTGGTCAGCCATGGGCCCTTTAAAGGGACGTATTTTTGGGGTGGTCCCCCCTCAGCTTGAAAAATTTGGGTTTTGAGGGTTCAGCCCTAGCCTTGATGCGAAGTTTTGAGGGGCCCAGCCCCTAAACCCTTGATGAGGGAAGTGTGAGGGGGGTCGCCCATGGGGCCTTTTGAACACGTAGTTTTGAAGTGCGTCGTCCATCATTTGAAGACGAAAATTTTGAGGGGTCTTTCCCTCACCCTTGAAGACGTATTTTTTGAGGCTTGGTCAGTCCTTCAGCCTTGTTGACAAAATTTTTTGGGGGGGTCAGTTCATCAGCCTTGATGCCCGAAGTTGTGGGGGTTTTGGTCAGTCCTTCCCTTGTTACGAAGTTGTGGGTGGTCAGCCCCTCACCCTTTTGGAGGGACAAAGTTGTGGGTTGGTAGTCCCTCAGCCTTGAGGGCAAAGTTGGGGAGGTGGTCAGTCCTCACCCTTTGTTTGACGAAGTTGTGGGGTGGTCGTCATCAGCCTTGAAGACAAGCTTTTGGGTTGGCCCGCCCTTTCAGTTTGGGAAGGGACGAAAGCTGTGAGGGGGTTAAGCCCATCAGCATTGAGGGACAAAATTTTGGTAAAGTAGTCGGGTCCCTCACCCTTGATGAGGGAAGTTGTGAGGTGGTCTTCCCTGAGCCTTGAAGACTTTGGTTTTGAGGGGGTTTCAGCCCCTAAACCCTTTTGAAGACTTTATTTTTGAGGTGGTCGCCCCTCCCCTTTGATGACAAAGTTTGGGGTTGGTCAGCCCCTCGCCTTGATGACAAAGTTGTGAGGTGGTCGGCCCCTCACCCTTGATGAGAAAGTTTTTGAGGGGGTCAGCCCCTCAGCCTTGTTTTGACGATGTTGTGAGGTGGTAAATTTCCTCAGCCTTGAAGATGTAGTTTGGAGGTGGTCAGTCCCTCACCCTTGAAGACGTGGTTTTGAGGGGGGTCAGTCCCTAAAGCCTTGATGACAAAGTTGTGAGGTGGTCAGCCCCTCAGCCTTGAGACGGAAAAAAAGTTGTGAGGTGGTCAGTCCATCCCCTTAAAGAGTATTTTTGAGGTGGCCCAGTCCTAAACCCTTGAAGGACTTTAAGTTTTGAGGGGGTTTCCGCCCCATCACCCTTGTTGGCAAAGTTGTGAGGTGGTCGGGTCTTCACCCTTGTTGACGAAGTTGTGAGGTGGTCAGTCCCTCAGCCTTGATGGAGGGAAGTTGTGAGGTGGTCAGTCCCCCCGGGCCTTGTGACAAAAATTGGGGGAGGTGGTAGCCCCTCAGCCTTGTGACGAAGTTTGTGAGGTTGTCAGTCTCTCACCCTTTGATGACGAAGTTGTGGGGGGTTTAATTTCCCTCACCCTTGAGGGGACGAAGTTGTGAGGGGGGCATTCCCTAAAGCCTTATGCCCAAAAGTTGTGGGTGGTCAGTCCCTCACCCCTTGATTGGGAAGTTGTGGGGTTTTAAAGCCCCTCAGCCTTCAGGGACAAAATTTGTGAGGTGGTCGTCCCTTGCCTTGATGACAAAAGTTGTGAGGTGGTCTTTTCCCTCACCCTTTGATGATAAGTATTTGGAAGGTGGTCAGTCCCTAAATTTTTTGTTGACGCGTTTTTGGGGGGGGGAGGGGGTTCTTTCCCCTCTCCCTTTGAGGGACAAAGTTTTTGAGGTGGGTCAGTCCCTCAGCCTTGGGGACGAAGTTTGTAAAGGTGGTCTTTCCCCCCACCCCTTGTGACAAAAGTTGTGGGGTTTGGTCATTTCCTTCAGCCTTAAAGGGACGTAGTTTTGAGGGGGGTCAGCCCAATCAGCCTTGAAGACGTATTTTTGAGGTGGTAAAATCCTTTTGTCTTGAAGACGTGTTTTGAGGTGGTCAGTCCCTCAGCCTTGATAAAGAAAGTTTTGGGTGGTCAGTCCATCAGCCTTGAAAAACTTGTTTTGAGGGGGTTTTCAGTCCCTCAGCCTTGTTGGAGTGGGTTTTGAGGTGGTAAATTTCCCCTTCACCCTTGAATACGTAGTTTTGAGGGGGGTTTGCCCTCGCTTGATGCGTAGTTTTGAGGGGGGTGGTCAGTCCATCACCCTTTAAAGGGAGTAGTTTTAAAGGTGGTCGGGGTCCTCAGCCTGAAAACTTTTGTTTTGAGGTGGTCAGTCCTCACCCTTAAAGGCCCGTTGTTTTGAGGGGGCCCCGTCCAACAGCCTTGAAGCCCGTATTTTTTGAGGTGGTCAGTCCTAAAGGCCTTGTGCCCGTAGTTTTGGGGTGGTCAGCCCATCAGCCTTAAAGGGACAAAGTTTTGAGGTGGGTAAAGCCCCTCGCCTTAAAGGGACGTTGTTTTGAGGGGGGTTTCAGTCCCTCCCCTTTAAAGAGTAGTTTTGAAGGGGTTTCAGCCCATCCCCTTGGAGACGTGGGTTTTGGGAGGGGGGTCAGTCCACACCCTTAAACGACGTATTTTTGGGGGGTGGCCCAGCCTCAGCCTTGAGGGAAGGAAGTTGTGAGGTGGTCAGCCCCTCAGCCTTAAAGCGATGTTGTGAGGTGGTCAGTCCCTCAGCCTTGAGGGACAAAAGTATTGAGGTGGGTCAGTCTCTAACCCTTTGAGGGACGAAGTTGTGAGGTGGTCAGTCCTCCGCCTTGGGGCCAAAAAGTTGTGAGGGGGGCAGTCCCTCACCCTTGATGACGAATTTTGTGAGGTGGTCAGTCCTCACCCCCTTGATGACGAATTTGGGGGTGGGGGATGGTCAGTCCCTCAGCCTTGTGACAAAGTTGTGAGGTGGTCAGCCCTCCCCTTTTGATGACGAAGTTGGGGGAGGGGGTTTCAGCCCCTCTCCTTGAAAACAAATTTTGGGGAAAAGGGGGGTCAGCCCCTCCCCTTTTTGATGCGAAGTTGTGAGGTGGTCAGTCCCTCCACCCTTTGTGACGAAGTTGTTAGGTGGTCAGTCCCTCAGCCTTGATGAAAAAGTTTTTGGGGGGGTCGTCCTCAGCCTTGGTGACGGGGTTGTGAGGTGGTCAGTCCCTCAACTTGATGACGAAGTTGTAGGTGGTCATCCCAGCCGGGGGAAGGGTTTTTGCTCCATAGTCTTAAAAAAAATGTGAAGCTGAGGGGCAACAGTATGGACAGTATGTGAGTCTCCCGCGTCTTTCTTAAAACATTGATCATAAAAGGCCCTTTTTGTCCAACACTTTACACGATTTGGACAACTCATGGGGTTTCAGTGATGCTTTAAAATAGTAGTTTAAAAAAGATAATTTACGTTTGTACATTATCCACAAAAATCCCGGGGTTACGTGTATCTGAATTGTTTTAAAAAAAAATATTACCCTTTGGGGGGACTCTTTTAAAAATGATGTTGACAAGTCCTTTTTTTTACACAAACCCGTCTCAACCCACACTTGTCTACTATTACTTCTACTATATACCACCAACCCCTTCGTTCACTACCCGATTACTGCCACTATATTTCATTTACTCGTTTTTTTTTAGTTTTTTCTGTATTAGGACTGAAGAATCCTCTCGTGGCAAAACGTTTCCCCTAATAAATGTACCGAATTCCACTTAAGTGTCTTTTTTCACTTATACGCAGACCTGTTATTATTATTACTATTATTATTTATTAGGAGACATGGACGACCTCTAGTTATGTTCCAAGGTAGGAAGTAAGGGTTTCCTAGGAAGATCCTAGAGATTTGCAAGCAATCAATGTGGTTGTTGTTTCTTGCCACTGGCGTAATTCAGAGGACAACTGCACACCATTCTTTCCCAGGGGACGCACGACGTGGGAGGGAGAATAAACATAGCAACGTGTAATAAACTTCCCAGTCAAACTACAAGAAAAAATAATAATATAAATCTTTCTCACAGCGGGCATGAGCGAGCGATCACCAGAAAATGAGACTGCAGCTCCTACTTCAGAGAGTAAACCCACGTTGGACTTCGAGGTGACACGACGGCTGGTGGAGACGAACTTGAGGGACGCTTACTTTTTCTTCTCAAACCAACTAAAACAACTTTACTCTAGCAACACGAAAATGAAGCCAGAAGACTTCAAGAACCTCCAGAAGGAAGGTGCAGAGCGCATCAGGTAAATGATTTAGGTAATGCTAATACAGTTTGCGAATTGTATCAGCATAATTAATCAAGGTCAGTTTCCATACGCTTTAGCATGGGACGTGGAGTATACCAAAGTCTGTACAATATCTGCAGTTTAGTGTAAATTGTGAAAAGTTACAAGTTCTTGAGACTTGGGAAATAGAAACCAAACACTCAGGAATTGATGACCAACTCCTGCACGGTTTCAACATATAAATTTGACTCTCTCAGTGAACTGGGACAATAATCACATCTACAAAATCGAATTTCATGCGAAACGAAAATCCACAGAATCGACATTAATTAAAGTGAAGCCAAATTTAATATTTAATTTTTTTTGTTAAATGAGATGTAATTATAAAATATAAAATAATAAGGATTCCAGCACTGAGCATAATTCTGCATTAGCACAACAATAGTCCAGACGCCCTCATATCAATATGTCTAAATAAGGCGATTCTATACACCAATTAATACACGAATCTCTCATTCTTCCTGATATATACCTGTTCTCCCATTGTTTCTTTGCCTGATCCTTGACTCACTTAGCCAATCATCAGGATTCTTCAGTACGACTTACGGAGGCTGGGTCAGGTGGGAGACGAGGAAGGCAGCTGGAGGCAGCGAGAGGCTGAAGAGTTGAGTGAGGAGATACAACACCGTTTACACCGTCTGCAGCATCCACCTGACTGTGCCACTGCAAAGAAACTTCTCTGTGATCTGAACGCGGTAAAGTGGTACTCTTTTTTCCATGTTTCATAACATTATATATATACTATATATAACACTGGTCTGCATTTGGAATGTTTTTAATTTTTATTTTTATTCATGATTGTGATCTGACATATTCTTGGGCTGCTGATTGTAAATATCTAAATCATTTTGCTCTGTCACGTAAAGATTTTGAATAAAATACAAGTTAATGATTATAAAAAAATGTGAATTTTTAATAAATCGTTAATTCATTAATATTAGGCAAGTAATCAGGGCGAAGCACATTCTGTTTTAAGAACATATGAATTCCAAATCAACATGAATCAAATCAAATGATTTCATTAAAAAACATGCTCCTTATAGTTAACCTACATACTGAATCAAACGATGCTGTGCATCGAGACCATTACGTTTCATTGACTGGAAGTAATCCGCCATCATGCTGACATTCCATTTGCCCTGGTATAGAGTTTCCATTGTGCAAATATCCTGATGGAACCGTTCACCTTGTTCTCACTGTAATCTCCACAATTGTTGGGAAAATAGTAAAGATGTGAGTGAAAGTGCATCTTCACACTCATTCTAGACCCAAGTTGTTGGAAACTTGATATCAGGTCTTGGATCATTTTTACATATTCGGGGGAGCGACTGTTTCCCACGAAGTTGTAGACAATCTACTTGAATGAAAACCAGACATTCACCTCGACACCTGCTAATGCTTCATCAAAATGCTTGTCCTTCATCAAGTCCCGAATCTGAGGGTCAACAAAGATACCTTCCATTAGCTTTCCTTCACTTATACGAGGAAACTTTGACTCCAGGTACTTGAAAGCAGTTTCATTCTTGTTCACGGCCTTCACAAAATTTTTCATAAGCCCTAATTTGACGTGGAGTGATGGCAGCAGAATTTTCTTGGTCAGCTAGTGGCACAGATTTCATGTTGTGATTTCCAGGTAAGAAGCTAGTTCTTGGTAGCCAGTCTTTTGTTCATAGTGCTGGCTGTCTGCTCTATTATCCCAAAGACACAGAAAACAGGGATACTTGGTGTATCCACCTTGAAGACCTAGTAGGAGAACAATAACTTTTAAATCACCACAAATGGGAAAATTGTGATTCTGGTACTTGATTGCAGATATTAGTGTCTTCATATCTGCATAAGTTTCTGACATTTGGACACTATGGCCAAGTGGCACAGATGCAGCTGTGTTGCCATTGTAGAGAAGTACAGCCTTTAAACTTCTTTTAGAAGAATCAATGAAGAGTCTCCATTCTCATATTTGTATGACATCCTCAGGTGTTCAATAAGGTCTGAAATATTTGAGCAGAAAACTAAAGTTTCCTCTTTGACAATGAACTGAGTGAATGCCGCTTCACGACGACGTACCAAGTGAATGTTGTTCAAGGAGCTAGAAGCCTGTGTTCCTTCAGTCTAGAGCCAAGTAACTGTGCACTTTGTTTTGGAAGGTTAAGATCTTTTACCAAGTCATTGAGGTCAACTTGGTTGAAGGGTTTGTGATCGTCATATGTTGGTGGTTCATAGTCTACTGCCATCTCCTTAGAATCACTGGTATCAGACTCTGATGAAATTTGCCATGTCTCAGGTGGTACAAGTGCAGGAATATCTTTAGAGTGTGGAACAGCACTTATTACTGAAAGAATATTTGGGTATATTATGTGATCTTTAGTGTTCTTGTTGAATCCAGCTACTTTAGTCATACAAAAGTAGCAGTTAACATGGTGGTTCATCTGCTCCTGCCATACCACTGGTACTCCAAAGGTCATACATTGAAGTTTTCCTACTGACCACATTTGGAGCTTACTGATGCAACTCTTGCAAGCTTTGTGTGGTGCAAATGGTTTGTCCTGGTCTCCAAGTTTGTCCTGGTCTCCAAGTTTGTCCTGGTCTCCAAGTTTGTCCTGGTCTCCAAGTTTGTCCTGGTCTCCAAGTCTGCAGACAAAATAAACAAAGTAGCAGCGCTTCAATAAAGGAGTAATGTTGCTCCGGGAATCTGAAGGGTGAATTGCCCGCAGACAGCAAAATATGTCTGGTGAATGTATGCAACCTCTAGACATATTAATAATCTGAAAATATGGAAAAATATATTAGATTTAACATTTAAGTCAATATATGGTAAGTATTTTAATTGGTAATAACACTTTCTCATTTACTTATGTTATACGAAAAGAGAAAAGTAACATTTCCGTATAACTTGACAACCTGATGTGATAGAGATGAATAAAACACAGTGAATCATTTTTTTCCATATATATACCGAAAAAGATACCATAGAGTCAATAAAAGTCATGCAGACCAGTGTTATCAGTGAAACAATATTTTAGCCAATACTTGGTCTAAGTAACATACATTAATACCAGAAACCTCGACTTTACAATTTCCCGCTATTACATTTTTGTTTTAACACCTCAACAGCCATGTGGTTTTGGCTGCGAGATACATCACCTCATCCACTGCTTCATGGCAGCCTATGAGAAAAATAGAACCCTCATCCTGAACTCTGGTGGCTGGCGTTACTCCCCCGAGGGCTGGGAAACTGTCTTCCAACCTTTCAGTGAAACATGCACCAACTTCTCAATGAAAAATATGACTAACTGGCCTGGTAAGATGTACGAATATTTTTTTGAAGATCCTTCGCATTTTGAACTAACCACGATCAGCTTTTACTCTGAACGAAAACAGGTTCTTGCTCACAGAAATATATTATCTCTCTACAGGTACAAATGACTCACAAACGGTGCGCTTTCCCGATTTCTACACCATGAATCCACCTCCAGTAAACCTGCCATTAGCCATTCCACAAGACATCTCTGAACGGCTGATTCGTCTTCATGGCAGTCCGGGCGTCTGGTGGGTGGGTCAGTTTATCAAATATTTCTTCAAATTACACCCGTACGTGAAAGAGATGATCAACAATACACAGAAAGCTATTCAGTTTCAACATCCTATTGTGGGGTAAGAGTCCTGATAAATGTTTTTAAGGGAAAATAATATGTATGTGTTACCTTTGTTGTAGTAATGATAATGTTAATTTTTTTAAACGGATATAAGTGATGGATAAATGATGTAGAATATAATGCTGAAGCTTGTATGATGTTGGTTCTCTTAACCCATCAAGGTCCAGATTTAATATTATAACATCCTGTTATCCTCAGTTATAACATCTTGTTATCATCCACAGTCATAACATCCTGTCATCCACAGTGTACACGTCAGACGAACTAATAAATACACTGAAGCACGTTTCTATAACGTTGATGATTATATGGAACAAGCAGAGGAATACTTTGCTGGACTCGAGATCCTCAACCCAAATATTACACGAAGGATCTACTTGGCTTCCGAAGAACCCAAAGTCTACGAGGAAGTCAAACTAAAGTAACAATTTGATTTTGATATATTAAAATGTTTCGTAACGCGACATAAGCTATGCACTAATTTCTTGTTAAAGAAATCTTGTAATACAGATTCACTGCATTTTTCGTATTTGACTTCATAAGAGAGATAATTTTTTAGATACTGATTTGAATTGAATTATAATAAGGTTGAATATTTTGTTTTTCTGGGAGAATTCAAATTATATTAGTCACTATAGAAGAAAATATCTATTGAATTTAATATCATTATTAGTTAAGGGGGACATTATACAGTGTCTACAGATTTTTCATTATTTCGTATCAGTTTTTGCTTTTACACCTTAAATCCTAAAGCAATATTTCCCAAGTTCCTGTCGTGTTTTCATTGGTTTCCTAAAATCAGTGTTCACAAGAAATAAGCTTTCTAACATTATTATTGGCCAGGTATCCTCACTACAAGATTCTCTACCATCAGAAGAAGATAGATGTAGTTCAAATGAGCACACGACGCTCTCTGACCTCTCTCAGAGATCTCCTGGTTGATATACACTTCTTGACCCATTCAGACTTCGTCATTCTCACTTTCTCTTCCAATGTGAGTACTATTTTGATCTTCAAATGCAAAGGCTATGGTCCCAAATTATGGATTTTATGACGACACTTAAAATGCAGTACTTATAATTACACTGTAGTAGACGTGATTCTTGCATAACATCTATGATTCCATTTTTTCTTTTGTTCCCTGCTTCTAAAAAATCTTATAAATTATTTTTTGAGTTGATTATTGTATAGCATAAAAGATAAGTTAGATTCTTCTCTAAATGAGTTTATGGAAGTAACAGTACTTTGCTGTTCTTAACACAAAGTAACAGTGCTCTGCTGTTCTTAACACAAAGTAACAGTACTCTGCTGTTCTTAACACAAAGTAACAATGCTCTGCTGTTCTTAACACAAAGTAACAGTACTCTGCTGTTCTTAACACAAAGTAACAGTGCTCTGCTGTTCTTAACACAAAGTAACAATACTCTGCTGTTTTAACACAAAGTAACAGTGCTCTGCTGTTCTTAACACAAAGTAACAATACTCTGCTGTTCTTAACACAAAGTAACAATACTCTGCTGTTCTTAACACAAAGTAACAGTACTCTGCTGTTCTTAACACAAAGTAACAGTACTCTGCTGTTCTTAATGCAAAGTAACAGTGCTCTGCTGTTCTTAACACAAAGTAACAGTACTCTGCTGTTCTTAACACAAAGTAACAGTGCTCTGCTGTTCTTAACACAAAGTAACAGTACTCTGCTGTTCTTAACACAAAGTAACAGTGCTCTGCTGTTCTTAACACAAAGTAACAGTGCTCTGCTGTTTTTAACACAAAGTAACAGTGCTCTGCTGTTCTTAACACATAGTAAGAGTGCTCTGCTGTTCTTAACACATAGTAACAGTGCTCTGCTGTTCTTAACACATAGTAACAGTGCTCTGCTGTTCTTAACACAAAGTAACAGTGCTCTGCTGTTCTTAACACATAGTAACAGTGCTCTGCTGTTCTTAACACATAGTAACAGTACTCTGCTGTTCTTAACACAAAGAAACAGTGCTCTGCTGTTCTTAACACATAGTAACAGTGCTCTGCTGTTCTTAAAAACATAGTAACAGTGCTCTGCTGTTCTTAACACATAGTAACAGTGCTCTGCTGTTCTTAACACATAGAAACAGTGCTCTGCTGTTCTTAACACATAGTAACAGTGCTCTGCTGTTCTTAACACAAAGTAACAGTGCTCTGCTGTTCTTAACACATAGTAACAGTGCTATGCTGTTCTTAACACATAGTAACAGTACTCTGCTGTTCTTAACACAAAGAAACAGTGCTCTGCTGTCCTTAACACATAGTAACAGTGCTCTGCTCTTCTTAACACATAGTAACAGTGCTCTGCTGTTCTTAACACATAGTAACAGTACTCTGCTGTTCTTAACACAAAGTAAAAGTACTCTGCTGTTCTTAACACAAAGTAACAGTGCTCTGCTGTTCTTAACACAAAGTAACAGTACTCTGCTGCTCTTAACACAAAGTAACAGTACTCTGCTGTTCTTAACACAAAGTAACAGTATTCTGCTGTTCTTAACACAAAGTAACAGTGCTCTGCTGTTCTAAACACAAAGTAACAGTGCTCTGCTGTTCTTAACACAAAGTAACAGTGCTCTGCTGTTCTTAACACAAAGTAACAGTGCTCTGCTGTCCTTAACACATAGTAACAGTGCTCTGCTGTTCTTAACACATAGTAACAGTGCTCTGCTGTTCTTAACACAAAGTAACAGTGCTCTGCTGTTCTTAACACAAAGTAACAGTGCTCTGCTGTTCTTAACACATAGTAACAGTGCTTTGCTGTTCTTAACACATAGTAACAGTACTCTGCTGTACTTAACACAATGTAACAGTGCTCTGCTGTTCTTAACACAAAGTAACAGTGCTCTGCTGTTCTTAACACAAAGTAACAGTACTCTGCTGTTCTTAACACATAGTAACAGTGCTTTGGTGTTCTTAACACATAGTAACAGTACTCTGCTGTACTTAACACAATGTAACAGTGCTCTGCTGTTCTTAACACATAGTAACAGTGTTCTACTGTTCTTAACACATAGTAACAGTGCTCTGCTGTTCTTAACACAAAGTAACAGTGCTCTGCTGTTCTTAACACAAAGTAACAATACTCTGCTGTTCTTAACACAAAGTAACAGTACTCTGCTGTTCTTAACACAAAGTAACAGTGCTCTGCTGTTTTTAACACAAAGTAACAGTGCTCTGCTGTTCTTAACACATAGTAAGAGTGCTCTGCTGTTCTTAACACATAGTAACAGTGCTCTGCTGTTCTTAACACATAGTAACAGTGCTCTGCTGTTCTTAACACAAAGTAACAGTGCTCTGCTGTTCTTAACACATAGTAACAGTGCTCTGCTGTTCTTAACACATACTAACAGTACTCTGCTGTTCTTAACACAAAGAAACAGTGCTCTGCTGTTCTTAACACATAGTAACAGTGCTCTGCTGTTCTTAACAGATAGTAACAGTGCTCTGCTGTTCTTAACACATAGTAACAGTGCTCTGCTGTTCTTAACACATAGTAACAGTGCTCTGCTGTTCTTAACACATAGTAACAGTGCTCTGCTGTTCTTAACACAAAGTAACAGTGCTCTGCTGTTCTTAACACATAGTAACAGTGCTCTGCTGTTCTTAACACATAGTAACAGAACAGTACTCTGCTGTTCTTAACACAAAGAAACAGTGCTCTGCTGTCCTTAACACATAGTAACAGTGCTCTGCTCTTCTTAACACATAGTAACAGTGCTCTGCTGTTCTTAACACATAGTAACAGTACTCTGCTGTTCTTAACACAAAGTAAAAGTACTCTGCTGTTCTTAACACAAAGTAACAGTGCTCTGCTGTTCTTAACACAAAGTAACAGTACTCTGCTGTTCTTAACACAAAGTAACAGTAATCTGCTGTTCTTAACACAAAGTAACAGTGCTCTGCTGTCCTTAACACAAAGTAACAGTACTCTGCTGTTCTTAACACAAAGTAACAGTATTCTGCTGTTCTTAACACAAAGTAACAGTGCTCTGCTGTTCTAAACACAAAGTAACAGTGCTCTGCTGTTCTTAACACAAAGTAACAGTGCTCTGCTGTTCTTAACACAAAGTAACAGTGCTCTGCTGTCCTTAACACATAGTAACAGTGCTCTGCTGTTCTTAACACATAGTAACAGTGCTCTGCTGTTCTTAACACAAAGTAACAGTGCTCTGCTGTTCTTAACACAAAGTAACAGTGCTCTGCTGTTCTTAACACATAGTAACAGTGCTTTGCTGTTCTTAACACATAGTAACAGTACTCTGCTGTACTTAACACAATGTAACAGTGCTCTGCTGTTCTTAACACAAAGTAACAGTGCTCTGCTGTTCTTAACACAAAGTAACAGTGCTCTGCTGTTCTTAACACATAGTAACAGTGCTTTGGTGTTCTTAACACATAGTAACAGTACTCTGCTGTACTTAACACAATGTAACAGTGCTCTGCTGTTCTTAACACAAAGTAACAGTGCTCTGCTGTTCTTAACACAAAGTAACAATACTCTGCTGTTCTTAACACAAAGTAACAGTACTCTGCTGTTCTTAACACAAAGCAACAGCACTCTGCTGTTCTTAACACAAAGTAACAGTGCTCTGCTGTTCTTAACACATAGTAACAGTGCTCTGCTGTTCTTAACACATAGTAACAGTGCTCTGCTGTTCTTAACACATAGTAACAGTGGTCTGCTGTTCTTAACACATAGTAACAGTGCTCTGCTGTTCTTAACACATAGTAACAGTGCTCTGCTGTTCTTACCACATAGTAACAGTACTCTACTGCTCTTAACACAAAGTAACAGTACTCTGCTGTTCTTAACACAACGTAACAGTGCTCTGCTGTTCTTAACACATAGTAACAGTGCTCTGCTGTTCTTAACACATAGTTACAGTGCTCTGCTGTTCTTAACACATAGTAGCAGTGCTCTGCTGTTCTTAACACATAGTAACAGTGCTCTGCTGTTCTTAACACATAGTAACAGTGCTCTGCTGTTTTTAACACAAAGTAACAGTGCTCTGCTGTTCTTAACACATAGTAACAGTGCTCTGCTGTTCTTAACACATAGTAACAGTGCTCTGCTGTTCTTAACACATAGTAACAGTGCTCTGCTTCTCTTAACACATAGTAACAGTGCTCTGCTGTTCTTAACACATAGTAACAGTGCTCTGCTGTTCTTAACACATAGTAACAGTGCTCTTCTGTTTTTTACACATAGTAACAGTGCTCTGCTTCTCTTAACACAAAGTAACAGTACTCTGCTGTTCTTAACACAAAGTAACAGTGCTCTGCTGCTCTTAACACAAAGTAACAGTACTCTGCTGTTCTTAACACAAAGTAACAGTGCTCTGCTGCTCTTAACACAAAGTAACAGTGCTCTGCTGCTCTTAACACAAAGTAACAGTACTCTGCTGTTCTTAACACAAAGTAACAGTACTCTGCTGTTCTTAACACAAAGTAACAGTGCTCTGCTGCTCTTAACACAAAGCAACAGTGCTCTGCTGCTCTTAACACAAAGCAACAGTGCTCTGCTCTGCTGTTCTTGGACGCGGGAAAACATATTCCCATATCTTTTTATTTTTCTGGATATAAACTAAAACGTTTATATATGTTGAAAGAAGTTAAGAACTCAGAGTAACTTTGTAAGATCTGTAGGAAGATACAATAAAATTTAATATAAGTAAAATATACTATTGTTATTATTTTCAACAAATATAATTGGAAGGTAACACATGGATGTTTTGCCACCCAGTTTGGCAGGTTAGTGTACGAGATAATGCAGACGTTACATCCAGACGCTTCTGATAAATTCTACTCTCTAGACACGACTTATTTTTCATATGCACAGCGGCCAAGTTTCCTGAAGTCTCGCTTCCACCACCACGACCGCAGGTGAGACCTCAACACACTATCTCAATAATAATAATGTAACATCTTTATTTCTACATGTACAAGGTATACAGACCATAGCTGACATCAGTGACATACTACTATATGGAAGGTTCCTTGTTATGCTGAGCATTTCCCGCAAATTAGGTCAACTTTGTCCCAGGACACGACCCACACCGGTCCACTAATACCCAGGTACCCATTATTCCACCTTGCCTGGAATCGAACCTAAACCAGCAGCATGAGAAGAGAGATCTTTGCCACCAGGCCACGAGCACTCTGAGACCCTCTTTAGTAAATATAAATGTTTAATATATTCTCTACTGTATTGTCTCAACGAGGATTCCTTTGTTCCAGTGACAAGAATTTATTACGCTTTTGAGCTGGGTTAAAAATAAAGCTTTCTTTATATCTATTTCCTTCAAATGAAACCTTTCCGTCACATACACTTGCGTTATATATATAATATATATATATATATATATATATATAAATATATATATATATTATATATATATATATTATATATATATATATATAATATATATTAATATATACAAGGAATTCACAAGAGCAGGCGAAATATACACAAACACTGATCTCTGGCTGAAAGAGACTCGAACCTACGATCCTTGCAACAAGATACGCAGTGCTATACCATTCTCACCACACTGGACCAATACCTTGGCGTCCGACCTGCGCTAGACGTTGATCCAAGGCAGCCAGCTTTCGCCTGCTCTTCCGAATTCCTTGCATTGTTAAAATCTCTAGTAAGTCTGATGCATGCAGGGGATGAGAAGGAAAGCTGAAAGCCTTCTCCCTGAAAGCTGGCTGCCTTGGATCAACGTCTAGCACAAGCGGGACGCCAAGGTATTGGTCAAGTATGGTGAGAATGATATAGCACTGCGTACCTTGTTCCAAGGATCATAGGTTCGAGTCTCCTTCGCCAGAGATCAGTGTTTTTTTATATTTTAATATTTTATATTATATATTTATATATTTTAATTATATATAATTATATATATTATTATATATATAATATTTTTATATTATATATTTCCCTTGATAATGTGAGTGTCACGAAAAGCTCGGGGAATTTTTTTCTTTCAGAGGGGTTTGTTTTGTTATGTATATTATATATTAAATATTTATATATATATATATTTTTTAAATATTTTATTATATATATATATATATTTATATAAAAAACATGCGATGTAAAGGGCTCAAACCATGCTGTTTTGTCCTCTCATGGTGGGCGAAAAATCTTGAGCCTTAAATTACTGGACTAAACCCTAAAAGTAGGCATCCAGCGAAACGGGATGTTGTACTCGTACCCAAGGACTTCGGGGTGTGGATGGCTCTAGGCAAATTTTTTCTTTTCTGCCCCTTTTTGGTGTACTGCCCCCACCAAAGGCGTCTGAGTTTTGCCCCCCCTGAGGCAGGCCAAAGTAGCTGGGGGTTGAGCCCTTGGTAGTCGCAGTGTTTTTTTGATCAATACTGTTCGTTCGTGGGCCAAAATTAATGCTACAACACAAACACACACACACACACAACCACCCCACACAACACAACACAACAAAAACACAACCACCACACACACACGCACAAAACACCCCAACACACACACCACAATGCAACATAAACACCACACACACAAAAAACCCCAACAACACCACACACACACAACACACACACACACACATACCCCTGACGACATGGATTACGGAGGGTCAGGGGAGACATATAACGACATAAAAAATACTGCGCAGAATAGCAAGGGGAAAAAGAGGGGATTTTTTCCAAAAGGAAGGGACACGACACAAGAGATCACAAATGGAAGTTGAAGACTCGATGTTTAAAAGGGGTTTAGGAAGTATTTTTCGTATAGAGTAGTCAGGCCGTGGAAACCCTAGAAAAGTGACGTAGTGGGGGCGGGAACATACGTAGTTTTAAGGCGAGGTTGATAAAGTCATGAGGGGGGGAGAGAGAGGACCTAGTGCAATCAGCGAAGAGGCGGGGGCCAGGAGCTATGACTGACCCTGTAACCACAAATAGGTGAGTAAAAATAGGTGTGACCACATAAAACACACACACCACAAAAACACAACACACACCACCCCACAACACACAACACTCCCACCACACCAACACACACACATACACACAACACAACGCAGGGCCCTGGGTGCAGCGGGGGCACACAAGGCTCGGGGAATCCTGTGTTTTAAGTGTGCAGTGTGCTAACAGAAATCAGTGGTAGTGCTCGTCAGTGAGCAATATTCGAGTGTAGCTAAAGTTATTAGTTAAAAAAAAAAGTGTGAAAAAGCCTGAAAATTTCCTTACCCAAAATTTTCCAAACGTTTTGGTCTCTAGGCAGCGGAGGCCTGAAGCAGTGACGCCCGGGACAAGTTGTGGATTATACTATAAGGGGAAGGTATAAAATGTGAAGTGTATAATATCTAAGTGAAAAGTGAAAGCGTGGGGAAACGAGGAGTTGGCACTTGGGGTTTTAAATTTCATCACGGTGAAGGTCTCCAAAATAGGGATTTAGGCTAGTACGAAGACTAGTCATCAGCACTGGCAACTTGGCACCCCCGTTGCCAGCGCAAGTATCACCTTATTTGGGGTTTTTGCATGTCGTTTTTTTGGTTGGTTTGGCTTGCATCGCTGTTAAAATCTGGTATCCCCCTGAAAGCTATTACAGTAGTTATTAGTAGTAAGAAATTGGAAGCTGGGAAAGCCTCTCTAAACGTGAACAAGGAATAGGATAATAACAGAATAATTGATACTTAAATCCAAAAAAGGAAAATAAGCGAAGATTAGCATTTTAGAAAGACAGAACAGAGAGGATAACGGATCTACCCCCCTAACCTTCCCCCCTAACCCACACACAAGGGAAACATTTTGAAGCTTTGCCCCTAGTGAAATTATCGCTTTTTAAAAACCCAGAATTCTGGTATGTTTAACGTATCCCCTGCATACCCCCCCCCCCCACACAAAATACACCCACACACACACACAACACACACCACACACACCACCACAACACCAACCCCCACACACACAACACACACACAACAACACCCCCCACACACACTGTAAGTATGTCCCGGTTCAACCCCCAGGAGGTTGGGGGTCAGGTCACAAGAAGTTGTGGGCAGAAAGACACTGAGACTACACTACAACCCAAAGCCCCTCCCTTTCGTACATTTTCCAAACAAGATTACACACACACACCACACCCCCACAACACACACCACACACACCCCAATATCCAGATCAACCCAAAACTACACTCCCCCCCTCCCCCACAAACTTCTTCCCTGACCCCTCCCCCCCTCTTCACCCCCCCCCTCCCCCGTTCACCCAGACCCCCCTGACCCCCCCCCACCCCTCCCCCACATAGCACGTTCCCCCTTTAATCCCCCCCCCACACTTGACATACAACCTACAAAACTAACTACAGAAACATAATTTTCCCACTCTGGGCAATCAGGATAAAACAAAAATGGTTGTCAGAGGCAACAGAAAAACCCAAAGGGGAAAGGGGGAGGAAACGCAAAAGGGAAGATTGGGCAGCGAGTCATAAAAAGGATCATGAATGGGAAAAGAACTAGAAGAATTAGATGAGAAAGGAAGAGGGAAGATAGGGGAAACGGAAGTGGGGGCTGATACAAGCAGCAGAGGCTAGGGGTACAAAATTTAGAAAAGGAATAAAAAAACTGAAACAGCCCAAAAAACTAAGAAAATTTTGGGGTGCAACAAGATGCTACCCCAGCCAAAATAAGGGGGGCTGTGGGAAAAAAGGGGCAAACTGCATGGGGGAGGCTTATCACAGGGAGTAGTAAATGAAAGAGCTAAGTTTATGTGGAGGCCCTAAAAGAAAAAACAGAGCCCAAGAAAGCCGGAAGGGAAAAAACAGGCCCCGAGCCAAGTACATTAGCCAGTGAAACTGAAGAAAGGAAAGCTGCGTGCAGGAAACCAAATTTAAATGGGGGGTACACAGGGTAAGCAGTGGGAATGAAAGGGTGAGGTCAGTCTTTGTGTATGGGCCCAGGAAGCTTTAAGGGGAAAATATGAAGCAAGAAAAAAAGGGGGGAAAAAAAAAACAATTTAAAGATTGAAAAACAATAGGGAAAACGACTGACCCCGCTGGAAAATTTTCGGAATAGGGGGGTTTTTTAAAAAAAAGAACCCGGGCCCGGAAAGTGACCTTAAGGCAGAAGCGTTCGGACCAGGATCCTGCAGGAGAAGCCGATTAAGGGAAGCCGGAACAGGAAGGTGTATCTGACCCTGCAGATCCAAGAAGAAAGGCAGAAAAAGAGGGGGATGTTACAAAGGCGAAAGGAGGGAAAGAGGGGGGATGGAGAAAACAACAGGAGTCCCCGGGGCCCCGGGAAAAAGATCAAAATACAGCCTCCCTCAAAACTTTTCCCATAAAGCCTCCCAACCCGGTCAACCCCCCGTGCAACCAAAAAACTCTAAATCAAAACCCCAGCCAATCCAATGCCCCCCCCAACATTACAAACTCCACCCCCACAGCAAAACCCTAGTTCCTTACCCGGTCTCCCCTTCCCCAAAAAAAACCCTATACCCCCAGACCACAGTCTTAGAAAAGAAGTTGAAGGTTGGTATACAAATGCAGATGGAATAAAAACAATATGGGGTGGCACGAAAGAATCAAAGGCATCCCCGACTAATAGACTCACAGAAACAAAACTCACCCCCGAATAATAAAGTTCAATCTTTTTCCTCCGGTACCAAAAACCTCGGAAAGACAGAGGGAGGGAGGGGGAGGAGGGGTTCACTGCTATTAAAAACCAGTGGGGTTTTGAGAAAAATTTAAGGAATGGATGGATGGGGGAAAGGGACTATTTTTAGGAAAATCCAGTCTGAGGGGCATAAAGGTTTTTAATTGCGAATTACAACCCACCCCAAAAATCAGGAGGCCCAAAAGAAAAATATGATGAGAGCAAAAAGAGCAATGATGAACATAGCCAGGTG